TATGATGGGGAAAATACCCCGGAATTCCAACTGTATATGGAGAAACAGAATCTGGAATCCAGACGAGTATGGAAAAAAAAAATTCTGGAAATCCAGGCAGTTATGGCTACTAAATAAAATATGGCTAGTTTATCTCACCACATACCGGTTGATGATGTTGGATTTCCAACACTGTATGACTAAAAAAATTTGGAATTCTGACTGTATTGGGTCAGTACGAAATAGTTATTTCTGAAATTAGATAATGATAGTGGGACGAATGAGCTCATCAACACCGTGAATCAGGAACTAGTTTGGATTTCCATTATCAGATATAAAATTTTGAACTTGGTAAATTAGCATATGATGAGAGTTACCGGTGTATTTGGAAATCCTACTCTGTATGGTGGCACAATGGAACTCATCAACACCATAAGTAGGACCTATAGTTTTGGATTAATTCCATTACTGTATGGTGAATGGTGATTTGGAAATAAAACTTTGTATGACTTATACACCCATGGAAATTATACCCTGTATGAAGTAAACACACAAGCTCATCAACAGGGGGGGTGCAGATATAAACTGGAATGGCCCATTGCATGCTTTTGTTTTATAACTAGGCCTGGTGGCAATGTTATCCCTATTAAAACATAGCATATAAAAATAGAGTATATCTATTGTATTCAATGTTATGCTAAATATCTCTATCTAAAAATTGCTGGGAACTCCTATTTTATAATGTTCTGGGGAGAACCCTGGCCATGCAAAATATCTTGGGGAAAATTTTTGCACTGGTTTCCATGGTGAAATTATTTCTTTTTTTTTATTTATAATATCAATTTTTTCTGTGACACCAGGGATTAAAAAGTCACATAAAATTATCAAATTGAAAAAAATGTTAAAACATTAAAAAAATTATATTTAATTTAGCGAGTTTTCAGAATAATATTTTTTCATTATATGAAATTGGAAGTTTGCTCCCATAATGCATTGCATGTACAAGAAGTAGTATGTTCAGTCGTACAAAATGTTAACATTTATTTTGGGAAAACTTAAATATTCACAATTGTCGTCCGACATATTTACCGGTAGCAAAAAATTCTGATGCAAATATTGAAATGTGAGTCATAACATTATTAGGTGTGGCCGCCATGTGTTTCTATTGATATAACATTACGTTGTAAATACATAGTAGAACTATTAGTCATAGTGGACTGTCTGAATTTAGCTACTTGGTGGGAAATTAATGAGCTTGTTATTCCCATAATGTGATTACACTATATGTAAATTAGCAGTGACAAAAAAAATGACACACTATATACTGTAAAATACTTTATTTTAGCTGGAATTAATTTCCGCTGAAAAGACATTTTGGGTATTTTGAATTTATTTTCACTGATTTTTGACGAATATTATGTAAAATATAGTAAAAAGGGTATATTCGCTGGATTTTATTTTCACTAAATCATTTTTCTAGCGAAAATTAATTCCAAGTGAAATTAAAGTATTTTACAGTAGTCCAATAATAAGGCATAAACATGGTATCATGCCTCTAACCACTAGGCTATCGACCAGGAATTTGCAACTGCCAGTCCAAAACAATTCAACTTCATGAAAATGTAGATTGTTTTCAATATATTTTCAAATTGGTAAAACTATCAAAGAACAATAGAAAATCAAAGAAAGCTTAGAAAGAACTCCCATGTGCTGAGAGTATTGTAACACATTAAATATAATTTGAAATTACTTAGCTGAAAACTAATTATGCAAATGGAGAAAATTAACATGAACAAATTTGATTGTAAAACTAATGAGGTCT